ACATTCCCTGCGCATCATACATTCTACCCACCCATACGATTGCACAAGCTGGGGTGATGAGTGCTGCTCAAGCAGAAATTAAATGAGGCGGCCAATCTCAGCCACTCACTTGGGGAGCTCACACAATAGCATCCCACCTTGTGTTAGACCTGCCGTCGAATGCTCAAGCGGATCAAGCAGAGAGGAAACACGCTGCCTGTCTTGAACGAGCATGAAAAGACGCGAGGAAAGGGGGGGGGGGGGGAGTCACTGGAGCAGCAGCCGAGAACTTTTATTTTAAGTGCGTGGTTGGATAGCTGGCGTGCGTGCTATCGGCAAGCATCAGCGCACGGCTCGTGGTGTGCTCTCAACCGCAAGAGATTGTGGGATAAAAGCAATTCTCCCTAAAGCGGCTGTACTTATTCTCTTACACCATCGTTTTGTAGAGTTTTGCGATGTCAGATCCAAAAGAGTTAGCTGTCAGCTGCAGTCTTTGTACTGTCACGGGGTTGGGGTCATTGTTACAATGTTGGTTCAAATGCAGCGCCCCCACGCGGCGCTGATAGTTGTGTTTAGCTGTGCAAGCCTGGCACAGCAGCGGGATGGCCGTTTTGGGAGAGAATAAAACAGTTCGTTCTGGGCTAAGGGCTCAAGATGTTCTCGTGTCCTTCGCGGGCCTGATGGCCTACTGTTCACGGTTGTCACTACCGCCTGGCCATCAGTTAATCTTCACATGTAACAGTCGTGATGTTGAAAAAGGCAGCAGTGAACTTTTTATTTTGAGCGAACCAGTGCCCCGAAAACAAAACATCACTATACAAGCAATACACGCTGTAGGCCAATAGCAGCGAACATAGAGCGTCGCCGTCGATAATCTGACAAGCAGCGAAGTGTCTTGGGATTTATACATGTGCCATCAAAAATTCTAGCGTTATCGCTAGCGGCTGCATAAGTTGCAGAACAAACTGTAATGTATGCATTGCACCCTTAATTTAGATGATCTAGATTGTTCCTAGTCATTCAGGCGCGGTTCGCACAACGAAGCGTTACACGTGTAACGATGCGGTAGCAATGACAGAAATAAAGGAGCGCATGTAGCATTACCAATACAATATTACAAATTTTTTTTCAATAAAGATGTTTTTAAACAATTTTTCTCGTTCTCTCAAAACGTCAATTTTGGCATATTTGCCAAGTTAGAGGAAAAATAACTTCTGTTTCGTACGAGCTATCAGCATATTTATTTTTTTTTGCCAGAAAGATAAATGCATGCAGCATGCAATATGCCTAATTTGAAGGCAATATACACATAAAAAAATTTTTTAATCGAACACATGCGTGAGAGGTGAAGGTGGCTTGTTTTTTTTTTTGAACACTGATGTCCTCTAAGTCCTGTTGAAGTTGGCCCAGCAAATTGATTTATAGCATATTTCACTCCTTAAGCATCCTACATTGTTTCTACACTGTCGTCAATCTTTTGGTACTTCCTCCTTAGATGCTAATTAGCTGAAAACAAAGGACCCAGGTTTTACATTGATTATGAAGTATGTTGGAAACTACCTAACCAATCAAAAAAAGTAATTACATTTTTGAAATCGGCACATCTAAACACACAAACTCTGAACATTTCATTCAGATCTATACATAAATAACAAAGTTGCCTATCAAGTGTAGCCTTCCCCTTAATATGTTTGTGTGTACAGCATTTGCAAATATCTTTCGCGTGATTTCGTACGATTCGCTCAATAAAAAAAATACTACACAGCCATCTTTACATTTATTCCCAAGGTACGTGAGATCTTACGGCTCCCAATGAGCTAGGTGAGATTTGTGCCATAGTGCAACGAAAGAATGAGGGGTAAAGACAATAAATTCACTGATTACCATACAAGTGCAATTCACAAGGTACCTTGCAGTTGCGGCCACTTTTACGCTGGACAGACGGGATGTTGCATTAACCAGAAATTATTGCAACACAGGAGATCACTAAGCAGAAGCTAACCTTCTAAACTACCTTTACATTGTTGAGAATGTAAGTACAGTCAAACCTCATTATAACGAAGTTGAAGAGGGAGTTGTAATTACTTTGCTATAACCATTAGTTTGTTATAGTCAATATTCATTTTTACTGACAATTAGCCAGAAAGGGAGAATGTACTCATCGCCAAATATCACAACAGCTCGCCGTGCAGAAAAAAACAGTTGTTAGAAGGCAAAAAACTAGCAAAATAAAAAAGAACAATGCACTTTATTCTTGCCAAATTCAGCACACTAGCTAGCAGATCACTTCGAAGAAAAATAGTCCTTAATATACTTTTGCAGATTTTTCTTCATGCGGATGACTGCTTCTTCAGCTGCAGCCGCTATTTAGAGTCTGTCCTTGCCATTATCGTAAGCATCAAAGAAGCGGCGCAGCAGTTCTGTCGCATCCAGTGCTTGCAAGGGCATCGATAAGTCGGATTCGCCAACATGAGGCTCTGGGGGTTCGACACATTCGTCACTGTCGTCATGCACCCCCATCACCGTGGGAACAATTTCTGCATCTGCATCAGTATAGGCACTGACCTACGTGCAGAAAGTTTTACAGTCTGGCACAACGCCAGCATCAAAGAGAGCATCCCAGAACATCTGAGCCTGGTCCCCCGCGGCACCCACTTAAGACTTCACCGAAATCTTTGGCCACTTTTTTTTTCTTGATTCCGGGCTAACGTTTTTCAACAGTGCCAACTTCTGCCTGATTGTTAAATTTTTTCACCTACGTTTGCCACTGCCGTTGTCCATCTCTTGTCTAGCGGCAGAAACTGATAGAGGTGATGGTGCTCCACCACAGTGAACAACAAGGAATAAAGCTACAATTTCTGCTGTTCCGGCACGAAACTGAAAGGGAGAAGGAAGTCAGATGCGCGGGCAGGTCAATGAGTTCTGCAGAAGAAGGGAGGCTGCTGGCTGACGCACACGCTTGCGAGAGTTGCTGCGCGGGGCGAACCCACTAGTTCCTGAGGAAAGTGGAGGCAGAGAGACTTGCACTCACATGCGTGAGCCGCCTGGCAAAAAAGCATGTGGGTGTATGTGGGCGCCAATATTTTGGAGCAGGGCTGGTAGCAGTCCACTAGTTCCCGAGGAAAGCGGAGGCAGGGAGACTCGCACCCCCACTTATGTTGACAGGCGGCTCTCCCGGGGAGCACAAGGCGCAAGTTTAAAATTACCGTAGCTGTGATGAAAAGTAAACCGTCGTATGCTATGAGATATCGCACTTCAGTCTGACGACGAAAGTGTGACGGGGCACCGTTTTGGCGTGGACGGGAGGAGCATTGTGACGCACTGTAGCGGCGTAGCTCATATCTTCCGCCTCGGGCAGCGTTGCTTGGGGAATTCGAAGCGATTGCCGAACTTCTCGCACAATGTCGTCGATCGAATCCACTTGAGGCTGCGCCGAAGGCAACAGCTTGCGTAGCTCTTCCCGCACGCTTGCTCGGATCGTTTCACGCAGGTCTTTGGAGTCACTGGCTTGAGCTGCTGCGCAGTCTGGAGTCAGGTGACGATTATACTGTCTGGTGCGCATGTCCAGGGTCTTTTCGATAGTGATCGCCTCCGATACAAACTCTTGGAAGGTGTTCAGTGGATTCCTCATCAGTCCCGTGAAAAGCTTCTGTTTGACTCCTCGCATGAGGAACCGGACTTTCTTTTCTTCCGGCATTTCTGGGTCTGCATGGCAAAAGAGTTTAGTCATTTCTTTTGTGAAGAGCATGACGTTTTCGTTGGGTAGCTGGATGTGAGTTTCAAGCAGAGTTTCAGCCCTCTCTTTGCAGACGATGCTTGTGAAAGTGGCCAATAACCTGGAGCAGGAAATGTCCCACGTTGTCAAGATCGACTCTTCGTTCTCGAACCATGTCCTGGTAGCGTCTTGCAAGACAAAATATACATGCTGCAGCTTGTCATTTTCAGTCCAATCATTGAAAAGGGAGACTCAGTCGAATCTTTCAAGCCCGCTTTTTCGGGTCTTCAAGTGGCGAACCGCAGAAAGTGGGCGGTTTATTGAGTTGCCGCAGCAAGATCGGTGCCGGTGGTACAGGCGCTGTCATTGTCATCGCAGTTGACACCAAAGACTTGGTATTCAGAGTCTTGTCGGGTAGAAGCCCATACTCCGGTGGCATCCCTTGTTTCCTACAGCTAACTCGGTGCTCGTGGATTGCGTCGGTGTCTTCGTGGTGTGGGCTTGGTTTGCGGCTTGACGGAGGCGTCCGGTACATCAAAGAAGCAGCACCCCCAACAGATGTCATGGGGTCGTGACATGGCTGAAGGGAGGAGACTGGATTGTCAGATCAAACTGTTTATTTGGGGGAACCTGTGCCCGGTAAACCAAAAGTCCAGTTACAGTAGCAGACCTGCACTGATAGCGGCAAACAGAGCATCTTCCGTTGATCAACTGACAAGCAGAGAAGCGGGTCGGCATTTACACACTTGCCATCAAATGTTATAGCGTTATCGCTAGCGGTGACCTAGGTTCCAGAATAATCTGTATAGTTTGTGGAGTGGGCGTGATCTTATCAAAATGATCTACTACAGTCCTGAAGCTTCTCGAAGACTACAAGCACGATTTGTGCTGAGAATTGCATAGCGTGTCGGGGCGATAACAAAACTTGAGAAAAGGAACGTGGCATTATAGAATTGACATATATCAGAATGATCAGCAAATGCTCGTTGTGGACAAAGAATGGTTCGTTATATCCATTGTGAGGAAAACTCGGCTTCGCTAAAACCAGGTTTTAAATACATGGGCGTCTATGAGAATTTTAAGACAAATTACAATTGCTTCGTTATATCCATTAGTTCATTAATCCCACTTTATTAAAATGAGGTTTTACTGTTTGAGCCAAAGTTTGATCTCCAAGTGTGCATGTAACCTGCAAGGTAGAGCACTCAAAATGGGCAGTTCTCTTCAATCAATGACAGACTTTCAAATGTCTGAATGAGCTCCGCGATACTTATATGTACAATCATCCCCAAATGGAGACACTCACCGAAAGTTTGAAACGTTGGTGAATACCGAACAGTGCAGCAAGAAGGGGCCAAGCATGTGGTGTCCCTGCAGCTAGTTGAGACTCGAACCATTGCAACCACTGGTCATTGGATATCAGCAATGTGGCTGCTGTGGGGATGTTTGTTTTACTATTAGTTGTAGTTGTCAATGCAACAGAGTAGTATGATTAAAGCACCACATGTATCAAACACAAATAAATATAACTTATTTGTGAAAGCGAAGAAAGGCCAGACTACATACACTCTGACAAACAGTGCGTACTTGTGGCTGTCAAGTGAAATCTGATGCTTGATCTTGGCTTGACACAAGGTTTATTATGCGACTAATGATTCTCTCTCTCAAATAAAGTCAAATATAAACTATCTTACTTTATAAAAACCCAATCCTTTCTTATCATTATAAATGCTTCACATTGCAAACAAACTGCACCATTTTGGGAATGCAGAACAGTAATTTACCAGTGCAGTCCAGACTGATTCTCTTTTCTTTACTATACCTGCAAAATGAGCCTTTCATTTGGTTTAGCTCTTTAGTTGAGACATATTATTTGATTTCTCCCAATACTAGGCCATTCTTACTTTTAGTTACCCTATTGATAGATAATCATCTTTCACGTAAATTTTGAAATTTTGCGAGTTTTGTAAGTAAATGAGTGGATTATGAACCCTTACTAATAACTTATTAACTTTAAATCTATCCACTAAGTCATTTATACAACAATCAAGTGTCGAAACAGGCACCAATTTTTTTTTGAGGAGGGCTGGTAGCAGCAAAATGAATGTTTCAAAGCATCTCTGGAGCAGCCAAGAGCAATACCGAAGCAGTATCAGAGAAAAAAGTTTGCAATTTCATAGCAGAGAAAGCAAGTTTTGGAGTTGTCGCCACCCTAGGAACATTTAAATTAGCAAATTCTTGCTTTCAACAAATACAAGCACTAAAAGAGAAAAGTTTATGTGCCCAGGGGAACCTATCTGAAAAATTCCCTATACTGTTCTCGTCGAGTAACCTTAAATGAAATCTTGTGAATTTGCAAGTGTATAAAGCTGTAATGGTTGTAAAATTCTACTAAAATCAGGACAAAATCCCAACACAAAAGCAACGAAAATTGATGTGTTGTGATTAAAAGGCATGAAATGCACATCAATAAACTAGTCCCAGATGAAAATATGTAACTGGGAATACACATGGTTTCAACTGGCATTAACTGAGATCAATTTATCTCAGTTGCAGGCCAACTGGTTTCGGCTGGGAATCAACTGGGAACAATTGGTCCTAGTTGCAAGTGGTTCTAGTTAGTAGCTGGTCCTAGTTTCAAGTCAACTGGTTTCAGCTGAGAATCAACTGGGAACAGTTGGTCTTAGTTGCAAGTGGTTCCAGTTAGTAGCTGGTCCCAGTTACAGCTCAACTGGCCGCCAACAGGGACCATCACCAGTTCAACTGAAAGCTGCTGGTTGCAGTTACATTCGTATCAGGAGCTGCGACGTTTATGTTCTGATTGTACGTCTATTGACAAGGAAAAATGAAAAAAGTTGAGCTTGATTGTGTATGACGTGCAATTGTTGCACCTCAACAAGTGGGTTTTATTCAAGTTTTTTTTTTCTTACACATGGAAGTGTACTGGACGACCAGCCCAGTAAGACATATATGATGATAAAAAATGAGTGTCTCATGATTTACAAATCTATTATCTTACTTTTTCTCATTCTCTGTGAGTTGTTTTAACCTCACTGACTAGATTAAAATAATATTATCATGGAATATTGAGTTGCATAAGTAGGCAAACACATTGGATTCAAACGTACATTGTTTTTGCTGTAGTAAATTCAACTGCATTAAGCTGTTGCCAATTATCAATCTTTAAGTCCATCGTGGTGAAAATACGCTGGCGAAGTGGTGCCGATTGAAGTCAGGCTGTAATTTTGCTGAATTATCTCGCAGGGAGCATGCCTGCTTGACAACCTTGTGTGCTGCACAGACGCATTACTTCGGAAGAACAAATAAAGGTAACACAGTGCCGAGCCTATGTCTACCATGGCTGAGACTGCAGATATTTTATAATGCTGCCAACTCCACTGCAAGCGTATATTGTACCAACACCAGATCGTACACCACAGCTGGTTTTACCACAAACATCTACTCCTCTCTGCCGCTTTCTCTCTCATATTCTACCTGAATGGCCAGCAGCCGTCACTGTAGTTGCGTATCTAATCTTACGCTCTAATACTGAATAAAACAGTGAAGTATAACCGAACATCAATATAAAATAAATATAAATAATTTATTAAGCGCAGATTCTGCAGTGTTGAATGAAAGAAGCGTACAGGCGGAAAAGTTTTTAACACAGCAACGAGCAGTTTTGTACAGCGCATGCGGTGAAAGCTGCACATGTGGCGAGGGCTAGCTACCGTGCTTCGTATAGGCACGAAAACAAAGCGCAATTTTGGTGTTCTTGATGAATAATGTGGAGTCATGGTGCGCATAATTTATGTGTTTTGATTAGTGCTCGCCAGTTTCATCTCCAAAAGATTTCACAACTTCAGGTAATTGTTGGACGAGTGTTTTTGCTTGTGACAAGACGGATATGTGGATCCATCGTGTATGGAATGCTGGGCTGCCTATCTTGTCCACAATGCAGCCGTTTGAAGGTAAGTAATCCCTTCTGCTTTGAGGAAGTGACGATGTAGATATAATAAAATACATCACAGTGTGTTTTGGGGTGAAGATGATGAAATGCTGCCTTGTAAACAATGCTTAACTTGCACTGCATATTCGCTGCCATTTGTCTTGGAGCGTCATAAAAAATTAGCATCGATCACGGAATACTTGTGTTGTAGAAAAAGCCACATGCTTAAATGTTTACGTCCAATCAGTCTTTTTTTCTAAGTCTACATTAGGCTCACTTTTGCCAAGTAGTAGTGTTCCTCTTATGCAACCACTCAAAATCATTGTTAGTGGCATTGAGGCCTTGCGAGAGACCTTGACGAAAGTAAAGCAACTGCTTCTGATGGCGTTTCTCCAAGAGTTCTAAAACAGTGTGCTCATCCAATTTCACTTCACCTTAATCTTTGAAAAGTCACGGGTTATAAAATACAGAGGATTTATTTAAAAACACGGACAGTGTAACTCGTATAGACGCTCTCAAAAGAAGGCTGCTAAGATTGTCGCATTCTTCACTCGCCTGCGCTGCGTCTCTCGAGCAAATCCGTGATCTTCGATGTCGTGGCAATCTTGCAGCTAGACGCAGCTATGCACGTGGCATTACCCTCCCACTAGAGTGAGAGTCTTCCTGATGCTCACCAGGTAGAGATGCGGCCAGCGGGTGTTTACATCACTGAGAGTGGTAAAGTTTCATGCAGACCACGTGCAATGTCTGAGGCAGATGCTGGCGACGTTTCGAACAGGAGGAGGCGTCGGGCACGACTTCGTACGTCACATCGCTAAGACGGTGCAAAACCTTGTAGGGTCCAAAGTATCGGGGTAGGAGTTTCTCCAAGAGGCCACGCCGTCGTACAGGAAACCGAACGCAGACTCTATCTCCTGGATGATAAGCGACAAATCCATGGCAAAGGTTGTACCATTGTGCGTCAAGTTGCTGCTGGGTGATTATTCTGACACGAGCAAGCTGCCTTGCTTCATCAGCGTGCTCAGTGAAGTCTGCGGCGTCTATCTCTGAATCATTGCAATCGTAAGGCAGCATGGCGTCAAGCATTGTAGTAACTTCTCTGCATGAATTAGTGCGAAAAGCGTCATTTTCGTTGTTTCCTGGCGCGCCATATTATACGCAAATGTGATGTACGGCAATATTCGGTCCCAATTCTTGTGTTCCACGTCGACGTACATGCAAAGCATGTCAGCGATTGTCTTGTTAAGTCGTTCTGTAAGCCCATTCGTTTGCGGGTGGTAAGCTGTTGTCTTCCTATGCGCCGTGCCACTTAGCGTAAGCACAGTGCACAAAAGCTGGGCTGTAAACGTGGTACCTTTGTCTCTTATGACGACAGCTGGAGCACCATGTCTCAAGACAATGTTCTCACTGAAGAACTGGGCCGCTTCAGCTGCAGTGCCACTCGCAATTACTTTGGTCTCCGCATATCCCGTGAGGTAGTCCGTCGCCACTATAACCCATTTGTTGCCGCTGTCCGATGTTGGAAATGGGCCCAGCAGATCCATTTCAATTTGAGAAAACGGAGTTTCTGGCTTGGGCACAGGACGTAATAGCCCAGCGGGTTTGACAGGTGGTACCTTGCGCCGCTGACAGTCAATGCATGTTCGGACGTAATATTTCACCTCTGCTTCGATTCTTGGCCAGTAATATTTTTCTTTGATGCGTATGTGTTCTTGTGAAACCGAGGTGGCCCACAGTGACTTCGTCATGGCAGGCTTGTAAAATTTTGCTGCGGAGAGCTTCAGGAACTACCAGCAGATAGCTTCTACCTGTTGATGATAAATTCTTTTTGTACAAAATTCCATCCCGTAAATAGAATGACGATAAGTTTTTTCGAAAACACTTTTGGTGCATTGGCGGCTCATCCGTTCGAGAATTCGTTCGTTCGAGAATTCGAGTTTAGCTTCCGATCATCTTGTTGTTGCCGAGAAATGATAGCTGCATCAACAACTCCTAAAAAACCTGTGAATTCATCACCCTCCGTAACCGGTGATTCAATAGGTAACCTTGACAAACAGTCAGCATTTAAGTGTTGCCTTCTGGACTTGTAAACTAAGGCCATGTCGTACTCTTGGAGCCGTAAGCTCCATCGTGCTAAACGTCCAGATGGGTCTTTCATTTTGGTCAACCAACAAAGAGAGTGATGGTCGCTTACGACTTGAAAAGTGCGGCCATATAAGTACTGGCGGAACTTCGCAACTGCCCGAACGACAGCCAGACACTTCTTCTCCGCTGTTGAGTAGTTGGACTCAGCGCGTGTGAACGTTCTGCTAGCACAGGCAACTACTCTTTTCACACCATCTTGGCATTGGACAAGAACCGCACCTAGGCCCACATTGCTGCGGTCTGTATGAATGGCTGTTGGGGCATTCTCGCCGAAGTGAGCGAGGACGGGTGGAGTTTGTAGACGTTGTCGTAGCTTGTTGAACTAAGCTTCTTGCTCTTC